AACAGCCCACCACCCCCCCTTTGAAACTTAGAAACAGAAAGCAGTTCAAAATCATTACATAATGATTTAAAAAATTTTAATAAGCTTAAAAATGGAAAACATACACTTAGTTTACATAGTGTACAAAAATATTTACAAATACTTCTATTAAAGCACAGAAACAGCTGTAAGGAAAAAACACTGCACATAAGCATACCCATATACATAGAAAAACATTGTGCCTTAGTAAAGAAAGTGCCTGGTGCATTTATAAATCCATTTGTGAATTCAAAAATCAGTAATTTTAAGTGATTAGAGTTATTTTGAAATTGCAATGAAATTTCTTTAAGTGGAATGTATGATTAACCAAAAATGTTTACGAGATTAATACAATGCCACAAAAATACAAAGCTATGCACCCTGCTTTGCTACCCTCTGTGAACACAGAAGGACCATCTTATGACCTGCATCTCACATGTTTCCTTTCCCAGAATTCAACAGCAATATTTGTAAGAACTTCAACATAACTTTTTAGTTAATGGCCCTGAAGTTTTTGATAAAGTATTACCTTTTGGTTTAAATGTGTAAGGAAGCTATGGTGGATCCATATAAAGTATTTACTTGCATGTAACAGCAACCTGGGCCCGTTTGCTATACAGAAGTGTTCTGGGTTTGAGTGTCTTTTTAAAGAGGTAGTCTTTACCATAGACCTACATTTGGAGGGGTTTGGTTCTTTTCTGTGAAAAGGCACATCTGTGACACAGGCTGAACTGTTCAGTGTAAAACTCAAACCTTTCAAATGACACATAGCATCCGGTAACCTTTACAAGTAGTTCTTCCCAACAACGGAAGAAGCACAAACAGTTTCTCTGCAAGATAGGCAGATGATCATGGACTTGTTTGAACTTCATTCCTACTTGCAATTTACATCTGAATATGTTGAAGTATCACGCTGAAAACCAAGAATGATACATTGGAAAAAACTTCCCTCAAGCTACGAAAAACTGACAACTGTAGCAACAACACTTTCAAATGAAGCTGGATAATTCCCAGCAAATTATGCAGACATTTAAGGACTTGGAACACAGGAAAGCTCTAAAACCAGAAGCAGATTTTGTATTGCAGCAGGTATTTTACTGAACTAAAAGCCTGCAAAGGCATCTTGTGACACTTCCACTTAATTAGAAGCTATAAACTATTACAGTCAAATAGTATATGCTTCTGAAAACAGGAAAAAACACAGCTCCTTGGTACTACTGATCTTTCTTATCAGAAAGATTGTTCTTTGCCTCTTATTAAAACACTGCATCTGAGTCAACAACATCAAGTTGCATTGCACATCTTCACATTCAAGAACATTTAAACAGTTGACAGAAGGTATTTCACCATGTTTGGTTCAATCTAGAAAATAGTGCACATCATCCACTGAATCTCATGAGCAAGGCATTGCTACAGGAGCCAGACTGCCTTGAAATCACTTCCAGGTTGTTCTCATTCACAACAGTCTTGTAATGGCCTCCTCCTCTGGCCAGCATCTTAAAGAGCAAATACTCAGGGTAACTTACAAGTTGCTCTAAACTCAGACAGTACATGAACAGAATTCAGTATATGGTTCAAGCATGTCAGGAGTCCAATTTCTTCAGTTGTTCATATGTCAGAAAGAACTGGAACAGCTGATTAAGGAAAAGTGTTTCCTGTTCATGCAGTGCAAAATGTCACTTCACTAAAGGGCAGCAGTATCTGTGTGAAACTTCACTTTTCTTAGTCCCCTCCTATGTAATGGTGCTGATTGACCATTTTTGCTATGCAGAACAATAAAACTTGACTCAGGGCACTCCTGTACATGAACAGCTTTTAGGCTGGTGATGCCAACTGCTTTCCCATCCTGGTTCCTCAGGATCTTAAAAACACAGGACTAGGGAAGCAGAAGAGTACTACGAAAGCCTTTAACTTTACTCACTTACCTTTGATAAGCTAAAGTAGGTTTGCTCATGGAAAAAAAAAAAAAAAAAAAAACAAAAAACACATTACTACCAAGCCACTTCCCAAAGTTCTGATCAGCTGGCTCTGGAAACACAAACCAAGGTGTGTGAGACTAAAATACAAAAAGACTTCATGGCTAACTGCCAAGAGTTTCCCCACTTCTAGAAATTGCCCCTATTTCTAACTTATCTGGTTAATTTTATTTAAAAATCAGGCTCCAAACTAAGGAAATGAACAGGTATGAAATTGGAGGAAAAGAAAATATTTTGCAATATCACATTCTAATATTCACTCTGTGAATCACAAATTCAATCTGACCAGCAGCAGTTGACTAAGAAAATGGTCAACTACACAATGTTCCATACATGAAAAGGGAATATTTGTGCTGACATGGCACTTTCCACAGACCATTCCATGGAACTCTATCAATACTTGTTGTTGTATGGCTAGCTTAATAGTTTTGCCCACTTTTGAAAAAGGATACAATGATATTCCAAGGACCAAGTCTTAACCAGTTTGGCCAAAACCCTTTATATAGAGCAAAAAAGCCTTCATTCTTCCATGTCTGGAATAAAGCACATCAAGAACACGCTTATGTAATTCTTTATTAGAGAAAAATCTAAATACTATCTCAGCTAACAAGATTTTTATACCACTGAAGGGAATTTCTTAGTGCTGTAACCTTGATTTAAATATACTGTATGATGGGATAAGGAAACATTGCACTAGATAAAGCCAAGATTCATAATGCCTGCAACATTACCTGGAAGGTAAAGATGCAGACCATGTCATTTAGTACCCACCCCAGATTCATCCAAGTTGCATTCCCAGACTTGTTTTTTCAATATATTTCCAGAGTGCTACATGTAAACCTGCAGCTCATGTTAGGCACCCACCTTGAATTTTTTCCATTTGCTTTATGGACAAAATTGCAGTGGACAGCATGGCCTGGATTGTTACACAGACTGGACTGTCTGTCAACAGTTTAGACACCAACAGCGTCCTATCCACTCCTCTCCACGTAAAAGGCCATCATGCTCCCACCTCATACCCAATTTAGGTATTGAAGAAGCCAAGCCAAAATAATCAAAATCAGAGACTGACACTGTCTTTGGCTGTACTAGGCTTTCCAATATGCAGTAAGCAACAGAGAAAACCACCTGCCCCAGAAGATGTTGTTCTTTAAGAACTAACCTATGAAATTGTAGTTTCCTATCAATATCCTAACATCATATAAAGTTGAGAGAATGCTGCCAGGAGACTCAGTCTACACATCCAAGTACCAAAAGGAAGTAAGTACATGCAGTAGATACTAACTTTCTTACTGCCCTTCTGTCAAGAAGACAGGAGATAAGTTTCACACCATGTGCATTATTGGCAGGACGGTCCCTTTGATCATAAAGGCAAAAAAAGCATATCCAAGTTACTTGGATAAATTTATAGGGGAACTTAGAACAATTTCAAGTTCTACACCCAAATAACTGCTTGATGGCATCAGCTTCTAACGTTGATATGAGAACTACTTACTTGTAACAAGCAATCTAAAGTACCCTTGTAGTTTGAATATCCTCCATGTTGTTGGCTTCTCTGATTCATCATGCGTGTTCTCACAACATCAATTGGGTTGGAGGCAAGGGCTCCAGCTAATCCACAAGTAAAACTTGAGCTAATAAAAGAAAGGTTTAATGAAACAACCTACCACATTTAAACATGCACAGGAATTCCCCCTCCCCAGAAAACATGTAGTAATAATGAGTGCTTAGTGCTTTTAATTAAAAATTATATCAACTAATAGATGTGAAAAAAAATTTTATTTACTATAAAGCATCTTTTTAAAGATTTGACATACAGCCCTTGTATACAGTTTCTGTATACTTGAACAGCTGTTTGTACCCCTGAGAATAGCAAATATTTGATTGGAACTTTCCTCTAACCTCAGTTTACAAAACTGAAGGATTCAGACCATCCACAAAACAAAATTCTATATTCAAAAGAAAGTTAAATCTAAAGCCTAAAAATAAAATTCACTTCTATGCTATGTGCTACCATTGAGATGCTACTGCATTAAAAACTATACACACATCAAAAATATATTTACATCTAGACTGATGACAGGGAAAAAAAAAAAAAAAAGAAATCAAGATTCACCCCCCATAATGAGCTCTGCAGACAGTTAGTGATACAGACTTACAGGAAGTGAGTATATACTGTATCTCCCATAAATCCAGACATAATTATGTGCTTCTTGGTAAGGTCATACACTGGCAGCTCCACTCCAACAACAACAGCAGCTCTCTGTGCTGTCAATGATACCCCCTGCCAAAAGAATTTTAAATTTCAACTATATCCTTTAACTTTTGTGAACCATCAGAAAATTCTATCTTTTATAACACAAAGCAACATACCATGAATGTATTAAGAACATTTTGAATTCAAATAAGGCTAATAAGTACAAGTCTTAAATGTATGTGCTCCAGAAGTGCAAATTCAAATTAACAGATAAATCACTTTTCCATGATGAACAGCAATTTCAGTTCCTTTATGCTACTCCATCTTTGCTTAACATCCCAATTCTTACATCAACAGTCAGCTAAGACCTCAACAACCAGGTGATACTGCTCCCCTCACTGCTAACTGAAAAACTGACAAAGGAAGATGAACAGAGAAATGGAGATCAAGAAACTTTGCAGAAAAAAAAACATGCTAATAGAAAAACATTTCTATTTTCCATCTGATTTAGAACAGCTGTCCATTCTTGGTCTTCAGTTGTTATACAGTCACTGACTGTAACTGGCATAAGAGACAACCTACAAGTCTGAGCACAAGAATTCCTGAGCTAGAGAGATGCTCATTAGTACCCTGATACACAAATGTTCTTTAGTACACATTTTTTAAAAAAGAGCAGAGTGCACACACTGCAAGGTGTCTTGAAAAGGGTTGTCAAACTGGTCATAGACCAGTTACCCTAATTTAAGCCTCCATTTGTCTCCTTTTTTTAAGGAGCAGCCAATCCTTGAACACAAGATTGGCAGTAACCCTTTGCCAGAATTAACCAAGACACCAGCAGTGAAGCAGTCATGACAAGCTACATACATATTAGGTACTGACCTCTCCATATTTTGGCTGAGAATACTGTGGAAGTACATGAAATACAGATGAGCAAGAAATTGTACTTAAAGTGTAGGATATAGTTCAAAACCACTTGCCTTCCATAATCCTTTAGTGCCTTCCTTTTGGTAGATCTGTATGAAGTTGCCCATCATTCCTCCTTGAATCACACTACCTTGGGCTTGCATTCTGATCTGAGATTCATTTGAAGACAGTTAGAAAATAATTTTCAAACATACAACCCGTAATAGTTTACTACAGCTTTATTAACATTTTAAGTTACAATCTTTTAAAGTCAACTTCTCTTTGAATAGAAATTAACAGCTGACATTATCATAACCACGATGCAATCTTTTGAAGTGCCTTAACTATCCAAATGCAGCTGCTAATTTTGAATGAGTACATGGTGTAGTTCTTAACTGCATTAAGTCACTTCTATTTCTGTAATTATACACTACTCCATTTAGATTAGACTGACAGATGGGTTCTGCAGGATGTCCTTGACAGCATTTTTACAGGAACGTGTTAAAATGAGAGGTTAAAAAGATTAAGGGTTCAGCTAGTGACAACCATGGTCTTGTGGATTTCTAAGAATGTCTTCGGGAACCTGCATGGTAACTACCGAATAAAAGTTTGGTGACAAGCAAGTTGGTACATGGATATGATTTTGAGAGATAACTAATCAAAGTCACACTTGAAATAGAAGCTTATGTTTGAAATGCCTCTACATAGCCACAATAGCCTTATGAAGGATTAAGTTTCTAGTAGTTTTAGAAAAAAAGTTTTAATTTTTCATTACAGATAGACATGTAAATAACCTGCTATGCTACAGTTTTGTAAGTTAAATACCATCAACCCTTTTAAGTAACTGGAAAAGAGGTCATTGACTACCATTAAGATAACAGCTTCTTAAAGAGGTGATTATTTCACCAATTCACTTTAAATGACTGATGCTGGTACACTGGATTGCAAAGCCTCTCTTACAGGACTGAAGAGCCACATAGTACAAGTAGCACTCACTGAAACTCTTGCCTCTAAATTGATCTTCACCTATTCTGAGCATAACAGTGTTACCAAGTATGCACTATGGCTTCCACACAAACACTATAGCATGAAGGATAAGAACAGTCATCTTAAATTATACTCTCCCCACTTCCAGAAAATGTTATGAATCCAACTACCTCCCCAGCCATCAGCTGCCTGTTGCATACTTCCAAATAATTAGTATGGACCAGAAGAAGGTTCCAATAATCCAGGATGTTACTGATTTTTACAAGTGAAAAACTGAGAATAAATAGGATTACAAAACAACAAATCCTATATTCATTAGGAGATTCCTCATTTCCTCAAGGAGAGGATGAAAACTAAGGGCAAACTCTACATAATTACCTTTAAGACATCAGTAGGGTTGGCAATAGATGATGAGATTACTCCCGAAAGAATGCCACACAGAACATTTATCATCAAGGTTTCATCTATTCCATAAACAAAGAAAAAGAGTTTAGCTGCAGATTTACAAATCTTAAAATGCATAAGGGCAGGATGATGCCAGCCCTCCTTTAACCAAAGAAAGTGCCAGTTACAGAAGCCTTAAAAACTGCTCTGACAAGTCTTCCTTGCTGACTCACTTTGTTGTAATTGGTATAAAGAATGTCTTCTCAGTAGACTTGTTCAAACTGCTACAGTAAGTTACCAAATGGAGACAACCAGCTTCAAGCAAAAGAGTCTTCAATTAAATTGAAAAAACCCACTCACCTTCTGGATGCTCAACAAACACTCTTTTTAAGCTCTGGTAAGTGCCTATTTTTATAGTTCCATATGAAGCTTGCCGTAGCATTGCAGGTGCAATCCTGTAAAAATAGGCAGTGATAATATTTATGCTCAAAATTGCAAAAGATTGATTAGCAAATACTTTTTAGAGCAGGAGGGACTGAACACAAGATATCTACCAGAGAAAGGTTTGTTCATTTAATTCAACAATTTAAACTCACTACAGACAAAACAAGGGTTTGTGATTCTCTTTGTTTAGGTTCTTTTTTTTTTTTTTTATAAAGCCTGCAAGAACAGGAACAAACTGTGGAAGGATTAGTATTAGAGCGTACCTCAAGTTGTTATCTATGAAATAACTGGCCAGTTTGTCTGAAATGTAGTCTGCAGATTACATCTTTACCCACCATCTTCCATGTTTTTAAAAAAAAATATGACCATTTATACACAAAGATTAATTCAGTGTTTCTTCCGAGAGATGGAACAGACAGAGTAGCATGGCATAGAATAACTTAGGCTTAGCCTTTTTTTTCTGCAAGTGTTTTTTTTTTTTTTAAATATGAAAAGCTATTGTAGGGTGCAAGCATTGAACCAATCTAAGCTTGGGCATTCAACTGCCAGGTTAATTGAGGCTAATCAAATACCTTGTAAATCCAAACCTCAAGAATTCACACATATATTGGGTTTATACTTATCAATATACTGTTCATAAACCATTACTGCAAGTCATTTAATTTTACCCAGAGTATAAGGCTTTCAATCCTTCTTCTCTGCATATTCTGACTAGTGCATGCACCATTCCACGGTAGCGAATCTCTTTATATCTGGCATCATTAACTTGACCTTGAACCTGCAGACGTGTTTTGGTCAGATCAATGGGGAAAGTACCTTAAAGAAAAATCAGAGAGAAAAATCTATCAAGTACTTAGCTAACAAAGGACAAGATAGAAAAAACAGCAGCCTTTATAATATATAAAAATACTCCCAGAGGAAAAGAAATCTCTCTTACCAAGACTTTAAGCAACTGATTCATTTTATGTCACCTTGTTTCTTCTAAAGCTTGTCAGAGGTCATACCTACTTCTTCCTATGTTTACATTTTATATTCACTATGTTTTCAGGAAACATGGAATGTCTGGTTGTAAACAGCCACACTGAAGAGGATTGTGCAATCACACTCAAGTACAGAGTTTGCATGTGTATTTTACCAACATCTTTGAAAAGCATTTCACTGAAGGCAAAGAAATACAAATTCCATAGGACAAGCTATACAGATTCTAGCCTAGAACCTGAAAGAGCAATAGCAGTAGTACCCACTGCTGTTACTGCTTTCCTGCAGCCTACTGCTATGTCAAGTTCACAATCTCCATCCTCCCTTTATGAAAGGGTTTAGAAAGCATATTCCTCCAGAGCTTATCTTTAGGAAAGGGACCACCTCAATATTCAATACTCACCTAAACACTAATAGGAGTCAGGATTAGCTACATCTGTTTAACAAGCTTTACTAGAAAAGCAAGGCTTTTATGAATTGCTTGTCTTCCTCACAAAGCTTTTAGCATTATTGGCCACATTCAGTTGAGTAAGCAAGGTTTCAAACTAAAGTTTGAACAGGATTCATTGGAGAAGGTCAAAAAGGAAAACAAAAGAGTAATTTTAAGTGTAATTTTATACTACATCTACTTTATTAGACAGATGCATGCCAAACACATGACAGACTATGTTCTGCTACTGCAAAAAAAACCCAGATTTCTCCTTTATCTTCATGTACATGCATTTCAGGTAAGACTTTAAAAGGATGTTATTTTAGGTTTTTCTTTAGAGTAGGCACTAAAACATCAGATGCACTGGCTCACTCTAGCACTTACTCTGTGTTGGACATTAACTGAATTTAAGCGTTCAAATCTGAATAGCCACTCACATTCAAGAAAAGGGAATTTAAACTGCAACACAGCTACTCAGAAAAGCTAAACCAAAAATTTTACAAGTTAAGAGCTTGTCTACTCTAGCAAAACAAGAGCTGTGCATACTTACAACCACTGTCTAGGAACAGATCAACAAACACCAGGTAACAGAATCCAAAGGCAATGTTTGTATATGAAGAAGACTCACATGGGATATGAATTTAAGACAGAAGTGTTCTGACATTATAACAAAATTCTGAGCAACTCTTCAGTCAGCCTTAAAGAAAAAAACTATGCTGTAGACTATATATATTATATATATTAGACTATATATACTACTTTGTCACTGATGGCATAGAAGGCAGCTTGTTTTAAAAGGGACTATCTGATCAAAATAAATCATGTAAACAGCTAAAGGAAAAACTTACCACATTCTGCAGTGATTGATGCTAAACCTCCATAAATAAAGGGCTTCCAGTTTAGTGCTGACATTATTGATTCTTCTTTCTGTAAAATGAGACAATGATTTAATGCTTCTGTAAGTACATCTGTTGTATAAATATATATGCTGACATTTAATAAAACTGTTCCTTGTCCATTTAAGATGGACCTTCCAAGCATACTAAGGGTAAAAACATTTAATACCTTTGACAATTAGAAGTCAGTGATACTGCACAAAGCCACCCAGGTTCAAATCAACGTCTCTACTATGCATTTTGGCCACCACTGTCCTCACCATGAAAAAATAAAAGTAGTTTGTCTCCCAGGCATGACCTTAAGGAGCACTGAAGTGAATAACCTCCAATGACTCTTATCAAGCTGAATTAGTTTCACTACATCCTGTAATTAAATGGAACATTAAGACAGTCATTACCAAACTTCTCCCTTTTTTTTCCTCCTGGTATCAACATTACATGAGCCAATACACTTTGACAGAATATAAAGGCACATACAACATTTGCCTCCATTAAGGCCTATTTCTGCTACCAGTCTTCACAATATTAATTCTGGTAAATGTTATACAAAAATAGTGTAAATTGCGTGCATTAGGCCTTTTACAGTAAAAAAGGGCTGCTCTAACTCAGAAGCCACTTGAGTGAATTTTACAAAGTGACCACAAATCATGATTAACTATGACATATGCTTTGCAAAATGCTAAAGTAATCCAAAAATCTTCAAAAAGAAATAAGAACCTCAAAACCAGACCACTCCAGCCCATACAAGACTGCCCTTCCCAAAACCAAGTAGATCTCTTCACAGCTTATCATTCCTCTTCCTCATAAGTACCTTCCATTCCCCATTTTCTGCAATATCCTCCTAAACACTGGATTCTACAGTTATATTTTTGCCAGTTAACTGTGTGGAATAATTTTACTTGAAATAATTTCCCTTGGCACTTCCATTCCCTGTTACCTTGTTTGTTCACCTGTACTCTTCAGATGGAAAATAATTGCAAATACACCAGTTACTTAAGCACCACCAAAGATGAACCTTCTTTGGTCACTTCCTCTAGAAGTGTCAATAACTCAGTGTCCAAGTGAAGTTAAGAGAAATTGCAGACACTGATAATGCCTTAATAGTTACTGCAGCCCTAGTTTTCCTTTTGTCATCTTTACTTCACAAGGAATTACCCAGGTCTTCAGACTTCTGACACTCAATACAATTTTAAAAACCCCAAACATAGGAGCTCAAAGCACACACTTTCAAATACTCAACAACCAAACCCACAGAAATCCATCTTACTCTTTAGGCCACTGCACACAACACCACTGATGTAAAAAAACACAAAGAAAAGGCAAGTAAGGGCACCCACTATATTGCCGAAAACAGTGCAGTACAAAGATAGGAGCCATGGCCATGGACCATGACAATTTTTCAATATGAAAGCAGCAGAGCAACATGGGTAATAACACTGTGCCAGAAGCAGGACACTTGCAGCTCCAAGTTCTATTCCTGTCCTGTCATGATTAATGGCAGATAATTTAATTAATGGAGACATAGCCAAGCTCAGTTTCCCAACTATCATCCACACACAACCTTTGCTTTTAAGAAACTTACCAAAACTGAATATACAGTTAACTTTTTTCTACTCAACACATTAAAACAAATTTTCACCTATCACAAATACCACAACACTGAAAAAATTAAAATATAACTGTAGTTTGGTTTGTATTTCACTCTGCTTAGGGAATGAAGGCTACTCAGTTTTTCTGTGTAATTCTGGGGCACTGACACAAGAAGTATGCAAGCACAGCCAAATAAAGTCCTCAGACTTTACTTCAGTCTGCTAAAGTCTGTTTACTAAAGTAACTACTTCAGTAAATCAAATAAAAATTTACTACTATTAGCTGAAGTTTTATGTACAGAATTACCCTAATGCAGATATTTTATAACACACTTCCTTTGACATATCCCAAGGTGAAGGCCTTACATTGCACTGGCAATGTTTGTACCTCTGAAAGGCTTACTAGTCTCCTCTCCTGCTGTTTACACCAATCTAATCATCTGAGTCTTTCCACTTATTTCTACCTTGTATCCTTCCTTCTAGCTTTCCATAATTACAGGAAGAAATTAAAGCAGAGTGACAGAGTTATCTCAAAAAAAAAAAAAAAAATATTAAAAAACCACCATCAAGCAACTCTGCCCCTTCACCTCAGCTGTATCATTTTCTGAATTCTTGTTCTGCTTCTTACTTGGTTCTTCCCTACACTGATAAAAACCAGTAAGCATCTCCTTAGAAGCATCCCATTGGCAATTGAGAAACTACTTAAAAACTAAGTTCAGCCCTCATTATAAAATAGAAGTCTCCAATTTTACTAGAAACAAACCATCCTTACCAAATGTACATTGTCGTTCCCTGAATATCAGTAAGGTGACAGAGGTGATACTACCCCTAAAGGACACTAGGTGAGGTTAATACAGCCATTAATTCACACACTCTTTGCAAGAGTCAGAAGCCAGTGTAATTGCTTTTAATTGGCAGCGTGACTGAAATAATGTGTCACTTGAAACAAATATTTAGATATTTCCCCGTTAGAGAACAGACTTTAAAAGAATCATAGAACAGTTTGGGTTGGAAGGGACCTTACAGATCATCCAGTTCCAACCCCCCTGCCATGGGCAGGGACACCTTCCACTAGCCCAGGTTGCTCAAAGCCCCGTCCAACCTGGCCTTGAACACTGCCAGGGAGGGGGCAGCCACAGCTTCTCTGGGCATTTTATACCAATGTCTCACTGCCCTCACTGTAAAGAGCTTCTTCCCAATATCTAATCTTAACCTACCCCCTTTCAGTTTAAAACCATTACCCCTCATCCTATCACTACACTCCCCGAGAGTCCCCCGTCACCTTTCCTGTAGCCCCCTGTAAGTACTGGAAGGCAGCTATAAGGTCTCCCTGGAGCCTTCTCTTCTCCAGGCTGAACAACCCCAACTCTCTCAGCCTGTCCTCATAAGGGAGATGCTCCAGCCCCTGATCACCTTCATGGCCTCCTCTGGACCCACCTGAGCAAGTCCATAACGAATTTTGTATTGGTTAATAATATTGCTAGTATACTAAGCACACAGTACACTCCAGTTTACAGTAGGCTTCACTGTTTAAAATGGATTTGACCCTTGAATGTTACAGAAGGCTTATACTAAATTAGTTACTAGCCCTGGAAAGTTATTCCCTGTAATATAAGCATGCACGTGTAAGATAGTTATCTAAGCAATACCTTCTAACTACATGGATACTGCAGACACACAGCTCAGGCTGTCTATTCAAGAAGTGAAGCAACATCATAAAGTAAAAAAAAAAAAACAACAACAAAAAAAAACAGAGCTAAAGCTAACAAGCTTCGTGGCAAGTTCTTGGAAAATACCAGTTGCTTTTCAAGCAGGAAGCCAGTGAGAGCCCCCTCCGCAGCTGCAGGGGTTCCTGCAGCTCCCTGAGCGGCACTGCTAGCCTGCCTCAGCAGCCGGAGCAAGGACACAGCAGCACCTGTGAAGGGGCGAAAGGAGGCAACAACCTGCACCGACCAGCTCCCTTTCAGCGACAAAACGAAACACGGCTCCCTCCTTGAGACGAAGGGCATCAGGAGGAAAAAGACTATGAAGAGAAGGAAGGGGCGCGTCCCGGCTCGGGAGTGGAGGGCTCTGGAGAGCGCCAAGCAAAGCTCAGCGACCCCCCGCCCTCCTCAGAGCTCGCACTCGGTGAAGCTCACGGAGAAACATCTGCACCTGCCGGCGAGGCGAGAGGCGACCCCCCCACCCCCGACCGACCGACCGACCGACCGACCTGAGGGACCAGCAGCTGCCGCCTCCCCGCTCACCGCCGAGGCCTCCTCCACGCCCCGCCGTGCCGTGCCGTGCCCGCCGCCAGGC